AACAACACTGGACTTGCATCCTAAATCAACACTGGGCTTTTGTCCTAACAATGCTATGAATGCATGATGCATAATAAACATAATTATTTACGACCACATCTAGTCGAGTGCATCACCATTCACCGATTCATTAACAATATTCACATGGCATAAATACACATCAACAGATTAGCATCTCACCCTTAAACACTTCATAGTCACAATATATTATCATCATATTGAGTACCATTCGTGATAGTATCACACATCATTGTAGCTTATCTCTTAAGAATCTAAGCCTATCTTAGCCTAGGTACTATTATTATACTTATTTTTACTTATTTTATTCCACCCACCTGTAGTTCATCGCGTTAGCTGTCCAACACTTCAAACGGTGCCTCAAACAGAGTTCTAAAATTCAAGTTATGGAACTTCAAAAATTCAACTGTTGTCTATCGCCTGGTGCTCACTCGACGACGCATTCTGCACGCCTTAGGCTTTCCCGACTAAGTAAGAGAGACATCACCACTCATTATCCTATGGTATTTATCGCTCGATGAAGCTCTTTGTTCGTCTGGCGATGCACCTCTCGCTCCTGCATCGCCCGACGACGCGCGAGCGAGGCATCCCTCTCCATATAAAATCCAAGAGCATCATTTTTCCCCATTCCTTCACTTTCAGCTCGCCCAGCAACAACCAGGAGACGTTGCATCGCCCAACGACGCTTCCCATCGCCCAATAACGCATAGCAGACAACAACTTCCTGTTGCAATTCTGCACATGTTCAGCCCTAATTCCTCTTGCGATTTCATGCCAATACAGTCCAAATTCTCATAATTTTCAACATATAATCATCATATAATCATCATATAACAACCATACAATATTATAGGAATTATATACACAAACTCATGACAAATCAACATGGTATTTCCATCAATTTCAGCATAATTTCATCACAATGCAACATATCATCAAATTATCAAAACCCCAACAAATCCTTACATACCTCTAAACTCTATATAAATTATAATGACAAATCACCCCTCTTACCTTAGATTCCTAGCTTGGGTCTCTTCTCTTCGCAGTCTACCAAAATTCCTCTATGTTCTTCGTGCCATAACTTTCTCCTCTACTCTTCGACTATTTTCACGATCGTACCAAATGAAATATTTTTTCTTATTCCTTGTTTAACCTTTGAACCCCTAATATGTTTTTTCCCAACTTATCCTCATTTAGCCTTTCACCAATTACCACCTTGCCCTTATCTTCTCTATACAAATTATTCCTCTATTTTAGTATTATTAATAATTCTAACTAATTTTAAATAACTATTAACTAATTATCTAAATTACTAAAATACCCCTTACTCATTTAACTTCCCATTACCCCACAACATAACAACATAGCACACCTCATACTCAACAAAACATCACATATTCCTCAATAATTCATGAATATTCCTAATAACTCATTTAATTTAATTAATTCTAAAAATTGGGGTGTTACATAATCTATGTGCTATGATTGTTTTTACCACCTTTTTTATTATTCCAAAGTGGGAGAAATATAGTCTCTACTCATGTGAAGGGTAGTTTAACCATTCAAAACTTTATCTCTGTGTTTTCTCTTTCACCACCTCCCTGAGATATGAGTTATCATCATTAAAAAAATGAGAGAATGTAAATCTATGTTATTGTAAGTATAAAGTCGATGATCCCAACATTGGTGATCTTCTCAGTGTTTTAATGATGACAATGCTTATGCATGATAAATAGAGTGGTAATATCTTTATAACTCTTAGATGATGGTGAATAACTTGAATATTTATCAAGCCTTATCATGTAGAAGATTCAAGGTTAAAATGAAGCTCTTATGTGATAAGACATATCTGATAAAGAAACTTGAAAGCTTCAAAGTTGTGAAAGAGGTGAAGTTGTGAAAGAAACTTGTATGTCTGAGTGACTAGAGTTTTGTGAAAGTAAGAGAGTAACTCCAAAGATACTAAGTCAACTGACACACCCACACACTTAAAATCCTTTTTGAACCTCTTTCTTAACTAAAAAAACACCTAACAAATTTTTTCAATCTTTAGCCAATTGATTAAGAAATGTCAGCTTCATTAAAAGAATTTTTTGAACTATCTAATCGAATAGGGCGTATAGCTAATGATTAAAAGAAGAAAAATCAAGTATGATAGTGTATTAATGATTTGTATTTACTCTCTATCCAAACTTTCCAAAATGGGCATAAATAAATTGATTATTTGAGGCATCAAATCAATTAAGATTAGAACATAATTAATTAGTTTATTAATTTGGTCCATGGATCGTTTCCTTTTTCAGACAATTCTTATCATATATAAATGAGGTGCATCTCCTCCTCATTTCACACTAGAATTTTGAATTTCTCTATTTCTTTGAAATTTATCTCAATTCTCTCTCTCTCTCTCTCTCTCTCTCTCTCTCTCTCTCTCTCTCTCTCTCTCTCTCTCTCTCTCTCTCTTTAAATTACTTTCTTTTCACCAAAAGTTGTCTTAGTGTATTGTAAGTGAAAACTACTTGTGTGAAAGAAGTTGTATTGGTGTCGTTCTATTTTTGATACTTTCAAGAGAGCGATACTCTTGAAAAATAGTGTTTGATTTTTGAGATTAACCAGTCATAAAATATCTATTTGGTTCAAGAACGTAGGCTTGAATATTCTTGTTTGGTTATTGAGATCAGTTTGAAAAATCTCTAATCGGTTCGTTTGCTCAGTCTGGGTAAAAGATTTCTTTTGGTTGGCGATAAGCCATTTTAAAATATCTAGATCGGATTGTATCAAAGATTCGTGAGTATAATTTATAAAAGCTCAAGTTTATAGTCACAATTTCTAAAAGATCTCTTAGGGACAAGAGTAGGTCAACGTTTAGCCGAACCTGGATAAATAATTGGTGTCATCTCTCTAACCCTTATCTTTTATATTTTGTCATTTATTTTAGCGCCTTTACTTTCCGTTGATTTTCACTCTAATCTTAAGACTAACATAATTTTGATCACAAGTAACAAAAACTTAAATTTAATCGCGAAATCTGAATACCATAATACACCCCAATCTATCTTGTGCTTGAAGTCACTTGTTAAACATCATATATTAAGACATCAGAAAATTGTGTTTTATTTTAGATTTATTACTAGTGCATTAAAGGTCATTATTTAGTTGAGGTTTTTTAGGAACGTCTCATCATTGAAGCGGTCTATGAAAGAGCCATGACAACTATCCAAATGTTTATTGGATCCAAAGATGCACGTCAAACTTCATTAAGAAATCTAACTTTTAAAAAATATCGAGACAAACTTTCTATATACCTGCTTCCACGAACAAATAACCCACCTTGGAAATGAGAGGAAGAAAAGAGTGCATATCTTTTTTGAGGGGTAGAACTTTGCTCTCCGTCAACATGTCCTCGAAATGGTGAGTCCATGTGCGTGGATCCACCATTATAGGAGTTATGTTTCAAATGGGTGGACTCTCCTTGAGAGCATTGTAAAATATTTGACTTCTCGTTACTTTCATGCCAGCTGATCTTTAATGTGTGAGAAATATTCTTGTGGACCTTATAATAGGCGTCAATATTTGTGTATAAATCTACATAATAGATGATTTAAACTTGTGATATGAACTTTGCATCGGTGATTGTACATTTACAATCTCCTTACTGATAATTGGCTATAAAGTTCATTATTGAACATTTTCATTATTTTTATATATTTCACTCCTATATTACCAATTCTTCTTTTATTTTATAATAACAAACATCAATCAACCATTAATAAAAAATTTCATTAAATTTTTTATTTTCTTAAATTGCTCTAGATCGTTCAGAGGGTCCAATAGTTATAGCTCAAAGAGGATAACGATTTACCACACCGTATGCAGAGCATGTGTACTATCTTAGACAAGAAAACATGTGATTTCATTCCAAAATCAATCGTACAGAGCATTGTTGATGGATCAACAAGCTGTTATAGCCACCCTACTATATAAGGGAGAGAACACGTCATTTCTCAAAAAAATTGAATCCGAATGTCATCTACTTAATCTGTGTGAAATAGTTAACTGAATAATTTATTATGGAACGAAGAGAGTAATATTTTGTTACTTAGTATAAATCGATCTATTATAGCAATTTTTGTAGAATAGATGAAAGATTGATTTTTACATATTTTCAAAAGTCATTCAAAGTTTTTCATTCCATTCAAGGATGAGTGTAGATTTTTCAAGCATCAAACACAAGAATCATTAGCATGCATTAAAATCCACAAACTTAAATTAATGCTAGGATATCAAATCTAATATAAAATCATAGTGGTCAATTACATACTCAATCAAGTCCCTTTCTTTTACCCAATAAACATCAACACATTGCTTCTTCCATTAACCATAGAAACATCTAAGTCTAAAATTAGCAAAATGTTATTTTTGCGATGACACATTTCATACATAGTTTAAAAGATACTTGATTCGATTACAAAAAAATTACCAATAATTTAGCACAAAGTCTAAAGCATAATTAAAGCATCACATGTGCAAATTTATGAAAAAAAGATTAAGATTGCCCCTTTCATCACGGGTCGAATAATAGCACTACTTGTCACTACATGTTAAAAATATGTCCTCTAGTACATCACCCTTATGCCCTTGATTCCTCTTATCCATGAAAAAAATAAACAAATTCTCAAGACACAAAAAATTACCCCCACATCCTTTTTTTCTGGCCTAGTTTGTTTGAATTCAATCTAACTCTTGCATATGTGAGTGAGGCCCACCTAAAAATATATCAATGGAATGATTTGACCTAAAAAAATGAATAGTTTAATTCCAATTTGCTTCAACAAGGTCCGTGAATATGACTCACGAGAATTAAAAATATATCAAAATTTCAGTTTTTTAAACCATATAAACCTCATCACTCATTCTATTTCTTTAAGTGCAAAGCTTTCATAGTAGAAGCACACACATTACACTAAAATCTTTGAAACATGGCTAACTTTGCTATAGCCAATGTTTTGATACTTCTCTTGAACTTGAGTACCTTACTCAATGTTCTTGCTTGTCCTTATTGTCCCTACCCTTCTCCTAAACCACCAACACACAAACCTCCTATTGTTAAACCACCAGTTCATAAACCACCAAAACCACAACCTTGTCCACCTCCTTCTTCATCACCAAAACCACCACATGCTCCAAAACCTCCTCACTATCCAAAACCACCAGCAGTTCATCCACCTCATGTTCCAAAACCTCCAGCAGTGCATCCACCTCATGTCCCAAAACCTCCAGTAGTGCATCCACCTTATGTACCAAAACCACCAGTTGTTAAACCACCACCGTATGTCCCTAAACCACCAGTTGTTAAGCCACCTTATGTCCCTAAACCACCTGTTGTGAAACCACCTCATGTCCCTAAACCACCTGTTGTTCCAGTAACACCACCTTATGTTCCTAAGCCACCACCAGTTGTTTTTCCACCTTATGTCCCTAAACCACCCGTTGTTCCTGTAACACCACCTTATGTTCCTAAGCCACCAATAGTTTTTCCACCACATGTTCCTCTTCCACCAGTTGTTCCAGTAACACCACCTTATGTTCCTAAGCCCCCAATAGTTTTTCCACCACATGTTCCTCTTCCACCAGTTGTTCCAGTAACACCACCTTATGTTCCTAAACCACCAATTGTTTTTCCACCATTTGTTCCTCTTCCACCAGTTGTTCCAGTAACACCTCCTTATGTTCCTCTTCCTCCAGTTGTACCAGTAACACCACCTTTTGTACCAATACCGCCTATTATTACACCACCGACACCAACAGTACCAGTTCCTAGTCCCCCTAGTGAAACACCATGTCCACCTCCACCACCACCCGTTGTACCTTATCCACCACCAGCACAACCAACATGTTCCATTGATGCTTTGAAGCTAGGTGCATGTGTTGATGTGCTTGGTGGTCTCATACATATTGGAATCGGTGGAAGTGCTAAACAAACATGTTGTCCATTACTTCAAGGACTCGTAGATTTGGATGCTGCTGTGTGTCTTTGCACCACTATTAGACTCAAGCTTCTTAATATCAACCTTGTTATTCCCCTTGCTCTTCAGGTGCTTATCGATTGTGGCAAAACTCCACCAGAAGGATTCAAGTGTCCATCATCATAGTTTGATAGAGCTAGTACATTTATATTTTGTAAGTAATTTAATAATTCCATTTTATATAGTTGTGTTTGTGTACATGCAATTTATACATTATAATTTATATATATGAGTACATGACAGTGTTAATGATTTCAGGATTGCATGGATAATAGGTTGCTTGGAATAAGGTTAACGTGCGCAAATTTTGAAAGAGATATAGTGAAGAAATTATCATTGTTTCTCGTTCATGAAGTTGTTGTAGGGTTCCACAAATTAAGCGCAAGGACATAGTAGAAGTATTGTGTAGTAGCTGGGTGCAGAGTAGAAAGATTTCTGCACTTTTCATGAAGTAGTTGTCGTCGTCATGCATTAATACGACAAAACAATTTAAATTTGATTATTTTCTGTTTGGTTTCTCTTTGTCTATTTGTTTGATTGCGTGTGATGCTCTCTGTGTTTGCATGTCAGCGTTTGTAAGTTCGCCCGTGAATGCATTGGAAATGTACAAGTTCTTTTTTGTGTATTCTCTTCAAAATGATTATCATGCTACACGTTCTTTTCTTTCTTTTTTTGGTCAAGACACGTTTCTTTAATAATTACGGAAGATAGAATGACTGCATGTGATTTTGAACAATGAAATTGGATCGACATATTAATTTAAGAACTCAAATCATTAGAACCAATAATGGTAAATAGATCTTGAGATTCTTTAACTTAATCTTATTATAATAATATAATCATAAATGCTTATTTTTAAGGGATAGTTATAGTCATTCTATTACTATACATAATATTAATGTGAATTGGAGACAAAACTTGTTTTCAATGCTTTTGTTTGGTGAGCATATCGTGCTTGTTTTCCTTGATTTTCCCTAATTTACGCTAAGTTTACGTTAATGTTCTATTGCTCCCGTCGGTTACTTTTTAATTATTATTTTTTAATTTTTTACATATATTAATGATTATTGTTATTTTTTAAATAATGATTATTTTTTTCTATAATAATAATTAAGGGTAATTTTGATAAGATTATAACTAATACCATCTTGAATTTTGAAATAAATTATTTTCTGAAAAATACTTCCTCCATTTTAAAATAGATATAATTTTAGAAAAAAATTTTATTTTAAAATAAATGTCATTCTCAATTTTCAATTAATAATATTAATTATTTTTTTAATTTTATTATATAATTATTATTCTACATACTATTTCTAATAAATTAATAAAATTAATTTAATAAAAATGTAAAATCTTGTGAAAATATGATTATATTTTTTAATCTATACAAAAATCTTAAACCAAATTCATTTTAAAATAACGAGAACAACACTTCAAAAGAAAAAGAAACGGAGGGACTAATAGTACTCGTGAGTTCCTTTCAAAAAAATAAATCTTATTTTAAATTTTTTTTCGTGTGTTGTCATATACTAAAAACAAACAAAACACACATTCTTATAATTATATTATAGTTATTAAACTAGTAATTATTCATTCAACTAGTAAATATCACTAATTGATCTACTTCACTCAACTAATTTATCAGTTTGTATATTCTGTTGTACATTTAAATAAAAATATTTTGAATAGAACATAATCAATATTTCAAATAATTTAACGATCTAAAAGTACGATCTACATCTAGAATTACGACCTTAATCATACGTATACTATGTTGTATTATAATACAATCATCTTTAATTATTAATATTGTATGCAGTGCACATTACTTAGTTAAATTTAGGTATGTATTACATTTATTTAATTGTCTGACATGCACTCTTATCATTAGAAATATTTTCTTTAAATTAATTTATGTGACTCTTGTTATGCTTTTTAACAACTATTTGTCATTCACACCACCTTAAACAAGATTTTTGACAATCTTTTTTTTTTTAATTTTAAACAACGCTTTAAAACGCTGTCTATTCCAGCGCTGTTATAGGTAAAGACATCGCTTTGTTAAAAGTAAAAGCGCTGTTAAATTCCTCCTTTAGACATCTCTTTTATTTTAAAATCGCTGTTAAATGCCTCCTTTAGCCAACACTTTTATTTTTAAAACGCTGTTAAAGGTCCCCTTTAGCCAGCGCTTTTACTTTTAAAGCGCTGCTAAAGGCCCCGTTTAGCCAGTGTTTTTTCTGAAACAAAGAAAAAATTAAAAATAAAAAACCCATTTAGGCAGCGCTTTTAATGTTAAAGCGTTGTCTAAAGCCCCTTTTATGCAACGATTTTTTTAAAGCGCTGCTAAAGGCCCCCTTTAGCCAGTGCTTTTTCTGGAAAAAAAAAGAAGAGCCCCTTTAGGCATCGCTTTTACAGTAAAAGCACTGACTAAAGGGGACTTTAGACAGCATTTTCGAAAGTGCTGTCTAATATTCACGAAATTTTTTATATAACTTTTTTGAAAAAAAACGCTGTTTGATATATACAATTTTAAAATGCACAGATTTTAACCATATTTGCACCAGATTTTCACCATATTTTGTACCTGTATATACCATTACAAATTTCACCAGATTTTCACTAATATTTGAGCTTCAATCCAATAAAAAATAATACCAAAAGATACTATACATATGCACCAATGTACTTATATATACTATTACTCTTGTACATATATACTTTTACAAAAAAACAACACCATTATATACCATTACAAAATCTATTCATCTCTATATTCTACATATGCACATATAACCTGAAACAACACTAAAATATCGTAATTCATACCATGATCAAACAAAATATATATAATTTACCACATGACAAACAACAACAAAATTGCAACACTTGAATATACTCAAAATTCTCATCAATTAAAGTAAGATTACAATATACTTTATATAATTTTCGTCTCAATAATGTATTGACACCAATCCTCCTTAAGTTCATCCAACTGGGAACTTGAGTAATAAGCACACTTGAATTCATCAAAGTACTACATAATAATATAAAATAGTATGTTTAAGTTAAAACTATTTAATTATATGAGAAATATGTGTTAAATATTAAAATAACTCCTAAGTTAGAAATCCATACCTTAGATGGAATCTCTATTCGATCCAAAAGAAAGATTTCTCTCATAAACCTCAACATGTAAAAACCGCAATCTACTTCATTACGTTGTCGAGGACACTACACATGAAAAGAAAATATGGATAAGACCTAAGTTTTATCAAGTATCATCACTATTAATATAATCAAAATTGTGATAATTAATTAATATACCTCCACTATAATCCATGTAATGTTATTGGCTTTACTCTTTGGTACTTGAATACCTCTTTGTGCTCGAAAAACTTGTATAATGCTAATAAAACATAAACGCATATTTAGAATAATTCACATGAATAAATAAATAAATATACACACGAATATTTAGAACAATCTCACTTACGTATCAACCATATTCTTCATATCTTGGTATGTACTTGGATCATTGCGAAATAATTCAGATAATATACAACTTCTCTGATAGGATTAATCACGACCAACAACCAATGTCCACTGTAAGATTAAACAAATGTGAGATAAAAACTTTCTACACGATGTCAAAATATAAAAAAATATAATAGATGAATTTAGAATGAAAATCTAACTCGTTGCCGGTATTAAGAGGTAAAAAGAATAACTTTTTGGTATCTTTGTCGGCCATAAAGCCCTCGAGTACATACGTCGTGACTTCATCTAGTTTATGAATGATTAACCCTAAGTTGGTATTGTAAGGAGATAAGAAAGAGAATCTTTGCTCCAATCCACTCGGGTGCATCAATTTTTCATACAAAAACCTTAAATAAAAGACCTCATTAACATTTGAAATGGGTAAATGAATTTATCAATTAATTAGACAAAGTAGATCGGATTTACCTTATGTATGTATTAACAACACTAGGACCTAATTGCGTATGTTATAAAACTTGATCAAAATCCTCCATACCAATTGTTTCAGAATATTCAAAACCAAAAATACCAAACTCCATGGATAGAAGACGAGTATTTCCTTCGGGAATATCAGACATTTCTAAAAATCTCCCAAGGCACGACCTAAACTTGGAAGTAGGTTTTTTTTAGCTGCGGTCTTCTTAGCAAAAACCTTTTTTTGTGTGGAAATGTTACTAATTTTAGAAATTCTTACCCCTACCGACATCTTCATTCTCTTTAGCATGAATCTAAAGATCATATAATTAGTTATGTGAAGTATAAGATCACTAATTAACATTTTTCATGCATAAATATCATATAATTGTGATGTACCTCTTTTATTAATGCAACTGACTCGGTTTGCCGCGGAATCCCCTTGTCTTTTGCTTTAGATTTTGTTGGAGTCTAATTAACATAACCATGTAAAAACAAATGTACGTAAAACGCGCATAAAAACTTTGAATACTCAAAGGTTCATATATATGGTTTTAAGCATACCTCATCATCTACACTAATGACGCTTGACGGCCATGAAACAAAGAAACCTATTTCATCTCCCACCAGTGTGGCATCCAAAACATCGTCAGGATATGGTAATAACGCATCCTTCTCCAAAACAATATCAATCGATACTTTCAAACAGCTAGTAGGGAGCGGTTTAGTGTGAAGTAATTCTTCCAAAGTGTTATTCACTTTTCCCTTGCCAACCATCCGATAAGTCGGTGACGATAAGTAGAGTTGACAAGGTGAAATGCCCTAAAACTAATAATAAATTTCAAATTGTTATTGTGTATATATTTCAATTAAATAAATTAAGCTACTTTAATTTCATAATGATATATATAATTACCTCTGGAAGATTCGGTTGAAAATTACAACCGATACTACCTTTGTCACTAGTAGCATTAAAACCTAAAGCTTGATCTCTTAATTCTTTTTCCCTTCTCAATTCACGGACTTCAGCTTGTAGTGCTTCCAAGATTTTCTGCCGTTCTTTATTGCTAGGAGTCTTTTGTGTTTTCATCTTCAAGGATTTTGGAGTGATTCCATATCCCTTACCCCTCACCCGACCAGAATACTCACGAACATTTAATGCTCGACTAAGT